TTCCAAAGTGACGGCTCTGCTGTCTGCTTGATAGCACTTCAGCCGAAGGCGCGTTATTGGACGTAATAATTCCCGCTTGGTCGATGCATGGTCAGATCGGAGACTCTATAATGACGAACATCAGGAACGGGCTTCTGACAGACGGCCAAGCGCGATTTCAAAGATAGTGTCATCTCTCGCACGGCGTCTAACATGACTCCACGAGGGGCAGAGTTGATCGATACAGCGAGTCTCATCTGCCGCTGAGGGGTCCGTCGAGACGATCATGAGGGGACTTAGGAACCTCCACTGTGACTGGCGGTGTTCTCGATCGCCAAGTCTTTTGTGTCTTGATTCGACGATAAATGAGGCTCGACAATCTCGAACTCGCAAAAGGAAATGGCCATGAGGAGGATCTTCGGCCAGTGAGGTGACGGGGAGCCTCTTTTGGGACTCATGGCGGACCCAGGTCAGGGGTGAATTGATGGGGTGGGTGGCCAGAGCAGAGTCCAGACTTTGCCTGCAGCAGTCCAGAGAAGGTTTTGCTCACGTTCACTATTTGCCTGCCGCAGGAAGAGACAATGGATGGTTTGCGACCCGACATTCCGACATCCTCCATCTTGGGGTTATGCATCTGTGTTCCTGCAGCTTGCAGGACGGCGTGGCGCTGGACCATTGCATCGCCAAGATACGCCGGGGAAAAACTCGAGTTAGCACTCTTAGCATAGGCAAGCGGCGGCAAAGCCACGGGAGGTGCAATGCGCGCGTGAGTAACAGATTCATCAGTGCAGAGTGCAGAATTGTGCAACGCGGCTAAGAGCTGCGGGCTGCAGGTAAAGTGCGGTGAGGCGGGTGATTCCCTGGAGACTGGACGTGATGGAACGTGTCGCTGGCATTGGAAGTGTCCGACGTGGTCGTTAGCGACCCCATCCGAGTGCTTCCAATATTGGAGTATTGGCTCCGTAAACCCCGGGTCCCAGAAGTCTGCCTTTCTGGAGTCTGGACCGACGACCGAGACACGGCGGAAGAGAGTGTCCACCGTCACCCACTTGCTCCCGCTTGGCGGTTGGGCAGACGGCGGCGGTGCATGAGCATTGGAGTTGCAGTATTGAGTCGGGCATCGGGAGCATTGCTCATGCCGGAAGCTCTCCATACAATGCGGCCACACTGCGTGCAACGCAATGCGCGGCTGTGGTCCATCGACAGCGATGGCTTCCGAATTTTCGGGCGATGATGTCGACGACGCAGCCTGATTGATCCGGGCTGGTTATTAAGTGAAATGATGCGTACCAAGTGGTCGACACGCGTCTGTCCACTGGAACTCCAACGATTGAGGGTTCCATTGAAGGTCCCCACGGCGACTGGGACGCTATTAGGAGCAGCCCGATATAGCATAGGAAGTGCATGACAAACAATTTGGAAGGCAACGTTGTGGGCAACCAACGGTCGGTTCTTCCGTTCGGGGATCAGTGTCGACGAGGCTCAGCCTGCCACTGAGAAGAGGGCGAGACTCTGACTGATAGAGAGGCCCGTGACTGAGATGTGACAGCTTGGCGAGCGAGCGGTGACAGTCGGCGAAGACAGGAAACCGCCGTTTTATCAGCGAGCTAGACGATTGAGGCAAATGAGTGTAGGATGAGGATGACGAGCTTAAGCAGCACCCCTGGAGTAGCGTCGACGATCCAAAGTAGCGCCAACCTGACAAGCCGCCAAAAGCGCAGGAGGAGCAAAAGGCGATTGCAAAATGCGAGTGCCAGCGGAGACCAAATGCGAGTGCAACTGTGCGAGTGCAAGTGCAGGCAACGTGAGTGGGAGATCCAATATCAGCCGGGCAAGTGCGGGTCGACGAGGTTCTGGTCCAGTTTTTGCCTTGGTCACTGGATAGAGAGACGAGGATGCTTGAATGTGAAAGCAAATGCAAATGCAGGTGCAAACCGCCCACGTCGGAAAAGATCTCCACTGCCAATATCTACCGCGGATGCCTTACTCCAAGCGTTAGGTTGAGTGATTGAGCATGCTTGGGTACGGATGAGGTAGCTGCGAACCAACTGAATGGTCGATGAATGGAGGAGCCCGGTCACAGTCACTTCCCAAGGATGCACTTGCTGACAATGCTGACTACCAAGTACGGATAAGGTAATGGAACGAAGTCACTCCTTCCTGAGAAGGAGAACGCCACGGTGCCTGGTCGTGACTGCCCTTTTTTGCTTGGAGGTGCACCCGCACTCCAAGGCCCGTTTAGCCAGGGGCAAGCGAGGCCGCTAGCAGCGATAGGCTTCTGGAGGACAGTGGAGGCCACGAGGCCCCACAGGCGCCGTCCTGCAAGGTACCCGGCCCTCCAATCCAATTTGAGCCAGCGGTGCGTGGAGCTGCCCGCGTGAGGTTCAGTTCTCGGGCTGGTGGAGGGTTGCATTCTGCACCGTTACTGGTTCGCTGAGCCATCCATCCATCAGAAGAAAAGACAGAAAAAAAAAAGAAAAAAAAAGGGTGAAATGCACCCCCGCGGCACGAACTGGTTTGGGGAACGCCGTTCGTGTTGATTGAAATTTGGGCAGAGATGAAGAGAACCATATTTGGCCATGGCCCAGAGGTCGACGTCGTATTGGCCGCCCGTTCCAGAGGACAGTCGTCATTGGCATCCGCAGCTGCTTCTATTCTTTGCTTCTTTTGTCGTGACACTACCCATGAAGATACTGCCGAGTAGCAGTACGGATTACAGTTTCTCTCCCACCTTATCCCGAACACCTGCGGCCTGGCTTCAGGGACAACGGGTCATATGTAGCACAGCTCGCCGGACTCCGAAAGACTATGTCATGCTGAATGCTAAATATGGACGGGAATATAGTAGATGGGGATGGATGGCATCATGGATGCGTGGTCTAAAGTGCGCGTAGAAGCACTGGTGCCTGTATCATCATGATTGCGGCCGCGCCTGAAGTGCACCACATGGCCATGGAACCGCCCCGCCCGATGCATCTCATGTGTGTGAGTATCGCGGCCTCAGCTTGAGTGATGTAATTGAGGGACAGATGGATGATGGATGCTTGCTTCCACGCTCAAGGAATGGATGGATCACTATGGATGAGCTGGGCATGCTGGACAACATGGAAGCGCCATTTGCGGCGGCTGCACTGCTGGCTGGCTGCACTGCACCACCAATGCCCTTCATTGTTGCTTGTAGATTGCTGGCAAGAAGACCTGAAACATGCGAACACTGGGGAAGGCAGTCGTCGCTATTCCTGCACACATCTTACCTTCGGACATCCAGCATGCGGCGTGTCCTGCGGCGACTTTTTTTTTTGATTTTATTTTCTCAACTTGATTGCGAGGAAGGCGCTGCATTCTGTTCGCAGTAAGGCGCACATGGGAAACATGCCTTTCCAGGGCAGGTACGCCGTCGACGGTGGTCCACCCCGCCGCCTGCGCACTTTGGCCAGCGGTCCTGTCCATTTTGTTCTGCATCTTTCGACACCGTACCTGCTGTTCAGAGATGGACCCTAGGTCCTTAGGTCCCCTCAGTGCCCGACGACCCCTCGCCCAGCAGCGCATCTGTCGCAGGTGAGCAGGTCTGCTCCTGGTGCAATCCAACGCCAGCAACAGATCCTCGACATGGGCGGGATGCACCTTGTTCTGACTTCTTTTTGACCGCCCCAAGGGTCTAGTCCTGTTCTCGGTGAGAAGCCAAGCTACCTTACCCTACCTTAGGTATGGAGGGTAAAGAAGGTTCCTTACCGCCTGCTTACAGATACACGTGCAGCAGAGTCTAATCAACGGCATCGATAATAGCCATCACCAAACCGCCATACCTATTTTCATGACCCCCTCAAGTACCAAGTTCAATCGCCCACCACCAATCCTCCGTCCCGGCCCAGCTCCATCCTGTGCCCTTTGCGCGCATCAACACCACGCAAATTAATCCTTGTCCCCTGCTCGATGCTCGTCAACCGCCAGGCCCAACCTGGTTTGGCCTGGACAAGGCCGCCAGGGGTTCTCGACAGCCACTGTCTGTGCTTCACTCTGACCACCCACACCTCCGACAGGGGTCTCTTCTTCATTCAACAGCCAGTGCCAGCACAAGGTCATTGAGGTTCCTGGAGGTCCTTGTCCAGCACACTGAGACAGTCGTTGACTCTCTTCTGCTCCCCAAATCCGCCAAACATCCCGACACCCTCTTTCTCAACTTCGAGACACGAGACGCAACACCTCTTCCCAAGCGACTGATCCTCAGACCAGCTTATCCCGTCTCGTTTCTCGTCTGTTACTGACTCTCTGCCGTGTTTCTCGCATCTGCGCTGGTCCCAAAACACGCTCCGACTCTGCATCCTTGACAGCAACCAAGATCCCGGGTCCTCGTGCGACTCTGCAGCAAAGCGCTTCGCCAGAAGCTCGAGAAAAGAAACCAGAGACACCCGTTCCAGACCCAAGCGCCGCACACTCACTCAACCACCGCCTGCCTCCACGAGCTGGTCACACGCTCATCGCCCGACACCTCTGCGCCTACTATTACCACGGGGATCCATACTTGCCCTCGACCCCGTCACATCACATCAACATAGTTTCCGATCTTAAGCTGGAAACAAGGCGCGATCGTGCGTCCCCCCCGTTAGACTTCCAGGGACAACGTCAGTTCACGTCACTACCGCACTGGGCTTTCTAGAAACACTCAAGAGGAGCCTTTCATCCCCATTGCTCTCCGAGCACACTTCCTCATCCGCTACTTCCGTTTTTGGTCTGCAGCCCGCATCGACGGATATCACCTTGATGCGGTCTGCATCGAGCTTTAGAATACGTACGACAAGCCTTCAGTAGACAACAAGAGCTTGGCCGCTTGGCCAGAATCACCAAAGATGGCCATGCCACGGGAGTCGAGCTTCATGCCGACTATCAAGTGCTCGTCATGTGCTCAACAAGTCGAAATCTCCATGATGGGAGAGCACATCTGCGGAGGACCACCTCCAGACGCGGACCGTAGGTGGTGTCACAAAGCATCTCTTGAGCCAGTCACTTACACTCACGCAGCCATGCCGCCCATGCCAGCCATGCCAGAACGTCCGGATAGTCTTGGTTCGTACGGTCAACCTCCGCCCCTCGACAACAAGTACGGCAGAATGGCACCACCCACTCTAGATACGAGCGCAGCGAGTGAGTTGCCCTTGACTGAATCCACGCAAACACTGCTGACAATACTAGACATGCCATACATGCGCCAGAGCCAACTTACCCCGATCAGCACATCCACCGGATCGATCAGCGTCTCGCCAAAGACACCTAACAGCCAGGCCATGGGTCGATCAGATGACTACTTCCAGCCGCAGATCGCGAACGATTACAACTCGAATCAGCAGGCCCGACGTCCAGGAGGATATGGAGCTTTCGACGACGGCGAGGAGTTTGGAGATCAGATGTACCCGAACGAACCGAAGAAGCAAGCCCCTAGCCTGCTCCAACGTATGAACACGATCGCCCCTGGGCCATTCGAGATGGGTCGAAGGAATGGAGGAGGTGCGCCACCTGCTGCGAAGCTGGCGCTGCGGCCTTCGAGAAAGCAGTCTTTGACGCCGGATGATGGCTTCGGCGAACGGCCGTTGACGTCTGCGTCGAACAACTCATTCATGTCTGCCGGCAGCAGTGGCAGTAACCCCGGTGGGATCGCACCACCCAGACTACCAAGGAAGAACGGATATGGAGGATTCGGCCCCCCAGGAACAACGCCCGACGAATTCGAGCCTGAACCTTACCAAAGCCGTGCAGGCACTTTCCCCCGTCCTAGCGAACCTATGGAACCTCCTGCCAGAACGCCGTCAGCTCCCGGCCTTCGACCCGACAGATTGAGCAGACCATCTAACGGACCTGACCACGAGAGAAAGCGCTCCATGGGCCCCGACACATCCAGGCCGCCACCACCGAGAACGAGTCTTCTGCGACCGACAACTTCGGGAAGAGACGGTGTGCCACCGGTCGACCTGGCCAGCGAGTTTGGAGCAAGCAACCCGTATCACACGCCGTCGGCGTCGACATCGTCAGCATCAGGGGCTTCCATGTTTAGTCATGGCCGTCAGGCAAGCTCACAAAGCTCACAATCTAGCTCAGCACAGCGCTCGCGCCGGAACCCTTCGGATGTTACCAACTTTGATAACCTTATGAACGACATTGAGTCGTCCATGAACGCCATGTCACCAACTAAAGAAGAGATGGCGCCACCGCCTCCGCCGAAGCAGGCGCCCAGAGATCCTTATTCCGGTCGTCGTGGCCCCTCCGAGGATCTCCGCAACGACCCCGCTATCCAGAGTGGACGAACTCGCGCGAGATCACCTCTTGGTAGACCAGATTACGATGCTCGCGACCCCAAGGATCGCTACGGGCAGGGTCATGAACGCCAACCCAGTGATCTGCGAAGCGTTTCATCTCCGCCCCGCAACCGTGGACCCTCCGCTGCACCTTCTCGTGGGAACTGCAAGTCTTGCGGAGATCCGATCAAGGGCAAGAGCATCTCGTCTGCCGATGGACGCTTGACCGGTCGTTACCACAAGGCCTGTTTCGTCTGCACGACCTGCCGCGAGCCTTTCTCATCTGCCGAGTTTTATGTTCTCGACGACAAGCCGTACTGCGAGCAGCACTACCACAAGCTGAATGGAAGCTTGTGCGGTACCTGTGGACGCGGCATTGAGGGCCAGTACTTGGAGGATGAAGATCGGATCAAGTACCACGTCGGCTGCTTCCGATGTGGCGACTGCGGCATGTCACTCTCCAATGGTTACTTCGAGGTCAATGGCCGGGCATACTGCGAGAAGGACGCCTGGCGCCGGATGCAACAGTCGGCGAGAAGACCCCCGCCTGGCGGTCTGGACGTTCCCGGACCCGGAGGACGCGGCGGACGCCGACCTAGCAACGGCCAGTCTGGCATGCGACCCCCCATCGGTCTTCCGCGCGGCCAGCGGGTGCCTCCTGGAGGTGGCCTCGCTCCGGGAGGTCTCGCCGCCCCGATGCCTCGCATGAACAAGCGCATGACGAGGCTCGGAATGATGTAAGCTACGAGAGACGCCGATGTCTCTCGGGCACATCGCCATGCACATTCACTTCGTCGCATTTGAATCATTACCTAGTGCATTTTTAATACCCCACGACACACTTCACGACCACGATATACCACCCTCATCTCGCAACATACACTTTTTTTTTCATTTCTGCCATCTGGAGTTTATATACCCGGTCCCCAGTGGACTCTGTTGGATACCTGCATAGAGCGACGACGTGATGTCGTCTTGTTTGTCTGATGATGATTGGGAGGCAGCCCTGACGGGCGCATGTTTGCCGTGGACACGAGTCCGGCCGGAGTAGCATGGAGTAGCATAGTAGGGGACGAGGGAGGCTTTTGCAGGCAACAGGGTGCAACACGGGTGCTCACAGGAAATAGCTGACCCGAGGTCAGACGGCTACGAGGCCAAGATATACATAGCAAAAGCCAATTCAAGCAAGTACTTCAACTTGATGCTCCAATCTCGAACGTCGTCGATTGGGTCTTTCAGTGTATAAGCTCTGTCGAGAGGATGCTTTACGGATACATCTCACGAACATGTGGTTTACGCCAAGCAACTGACGGAATTGAAACCAGCCAAGCTTCTCGCAGCCTGACAAGCTTCAACGTCCTGTCTGCGACAGAACGTGCCATCCTCCCCGAAGATGTCTCGGACAGCTGCTTCGCCCGTCGAACGGCGAAAGGGCTTGAGACCTGTGGACGTCGCACACAAACGGCCCGGGACGGCAAGTCAAAACGGGGTGAGATACGACATTGTGTCTTAACGTGGACAAGCAAACGGTTTGGCAGGTGTCTTGTGTTTCCCCCGTCTAGTCAGAGCATATCGCATTCTCTGCGTACATCACGGAAGAACCACTCGTCGCTCTCTATCGCGAGATGCGAAGGATCCATAGCTCACCCACCGGGAGAAACAGTAGCATAATTCCGACTATGTTCTCCTGTGGAAGCTTTTGCATGTTTGGTCACACGAGACATCACATATCATCGCTGGCGGTATTTAGATCGTCAATGAAGATGAAGAAGAGATGGTTGGATCAGCTTGGAGATGAGGGGCAGGACGTGAGCCAAAAAAGAGGAAAGACGCCAAGGGTCCTTTATCAGGTTGGTTTGCCTTCACCGCCGGTGATCTCTGGCGGGGGGCGTGGGGTTGGCGGATTTTGGGGGTCTTTTGCTGTTGATCTTCATCACCGAGTACAGGTTTTTGGTGATTTCTTCCGCTCGGTGGATTTGGAGAAATTCCGCCTTCCGCCGAGCGGGCGATAGGCACGATGACAAGATAGAAGCGTGTCCTCTTTGCGGAAGAACGCATTGGGCGATGCTTGTGTAGTAGACAAGAAATGAAAAAAACAAAAGAGGTTCGAAGAGAGGTTACGTGTTCAGATGGACGGGTCCTTTGCTAGAGTGGACGGTTAACGGTGATGATGTGTTCAATGTGGTATTCAAAGCACGCTGTGTCCTGGTGAGTAAGGAATTGGCGTGAGTGACGCGATTCTGCCTGCTGCTGACTGATGAGAAGAATCGGTCGGTCCACAGAGGTTGTTTCATGGAGAGTGGCTGTTCTTGTTTGAGGATACGCGCGGGGGCTAGTGTCGTGGGTTTACGATGGAATCCATGGATGTGTGTGTTGGGCCGCGGGCGGATGAACTGTCACCGACGAGTGGTGCGGTTCCGACTGTGGAAAAAGTCGATTGGGTGTGGGCAGCTGAGAAGAAGACTGCGCTGGGGGGATACCCTGCAGATAGGGGGACATGGAGAGAGTGTGGTGTGATTGGTTGGTTGGCCAGGTTTCAGTGTAAGATGTTCGTGGGGGTGTGGGAGATTGAAATAGAATGAGCATTGGCGGCGGCGATACGCGGGATGATGGGTGATAGCACGATGGGATATTGCTTCTGTCTGTTTTGGAGGGAGAAGGCCTTCTCGATGTCGCTCCTTGGGTGCTTGCTTTTCTGGAAATCGAAGGGATTCGGGGATGCAAGGAGAGAGGGAGAGATGGGAAGAGATAAGAATTGCTTCCTGGGAAGGGCGAAGGACGGAAATCGCAAGCTTGTTCTGCAAGACTTCGCTGGACTAGGTGGCGCGTTGCACGGCATTGCACTCGCAGTAATGGCTTTTGATCTGTGAACCAAGTCCTTTGCAGAGAGGCAGGATGAGGCGGGGTTTGGACGGTGCCACCAACAAGACACGATTCTACTCGAACCGCGTGGCCGATGTCTGTGTTTCTGCGCCCTGTGATGCTTTTGCAGTTGGACGTCCCACGCGGGTGTCTGTGTGTGTGCGTCCTGCAGCTATGAGAAGCAGCTATTTCTCACAGCTGTCCGTCATCGTCAAAGCATGCTTCAGCATACAGTAAAGTGCGTTCGAGCTGCAAGGGGTTTGGGGCTCTGTCGTCTGCGTGCGCACTGCCCGTGTTTGCTGTCTTGGCTTTTATTTTAATATGAAATGGTAGGCGCAATGCTACCTTCTGGAATAGGGAGCGGGATCCGCGTCGATCGTCGAAGAAGGGTCTCCCTTTGATGGTACGTTTTTGTCGACCCGTTTCGATATTGGGCACGTTGGAGCGCTGGAACATTGAAATGCGGCTGGAATTATATTGGCCTGGCGGACGACCTGAGTCGCGATATCCGAACTCATGACAAGTGTTGCCGGGTCGTCGCTGACGTCTAGCGAGTCGCGTGGGCAACTGCGGCTCGTGTAAAGTGGCTTTCTGGATCTCTCCGCCTGTGAGACCGGATTTAAAGGGGCAGACGGAGCTGTGTGGACTGTGGAGGTACCGCTGACGCAAATGTTGGCCGTCTCGGTACTTGCGAAGCTATCGTCAGGGGTGGGTGTTTTCTCGAAGTGTTAGTGCTGCTGTCTGGCGGCGTTTTGGCGCTCCATCATCGACGGCGGGAACGCCACTGAAGTTGATGCTGTCGTCCGTGGGTTTGAACGATTGAAGAGGCTAAAGTAGTCAGGGGAAACGAGGATGATGACATGCGGGTCGCAACTTTGGAGGAATTCAGACACGAACCACTGTGCAGGCACCGGTTCGATGGGTTTGGGAGGAATGTCGTTGGAAGCCAAAAGTCATGGCCTTTTTCTATTTGTTACTTTTAATAGCAGGCTCTGCCAGAATTCAGACGAAAAGAGGCACCTGTGGAGTTTCAACCATCCAACGGCCCGACGAGGAAAGGGTGGCTTGGAAGTTCCAGACTTCTTTCCTTTGTCTCACTGGCCCGCCACAGAAGGAAAGAAAAACCGGAGCTTTGCTACCTATCATTTTGGATCATTTGCAACTGCCCAACGACGTGAAAGTTTTTTTCATCGGTTTGGTACCTTGCTCTGACAAAAATTGAAGAGCTAGCTAGCTACAGGCATCTTTCTAACGACAGCGCGTCGGTTGGGACTTTGGGACTTTCGCAACGCCTATGGATAGCAGCAACAGGCTGAAAGCTTGGCCCCCCTTTTTAAACAGAAGCCGCCAGTTGGTCAAATCACACAATGTCACCCTAGCCCGCCCATGTGTGATGGATTGATTGCCGGACGCCGAGAACTCCAGTTTCCCAGCTGTGCGCGACTCTTTCGCCATCAGCTCCCAAATCGATGCATCCCATGGCCAATGGGAATGCCAATCAGTCCAGCGGGCCGGGAAGTCGTTCCCTTGTTTGGAGATTAGATTGGGGACCCGGTGGCCACTGCACGCACGCAGCACAGCACCACTCTCGCTCTTGCAGGTTTTACTCAAGTCACTGACTGGCGATCTACGGCGCACCCAAGATGTTTTGTAGGAGTCTTGTTGGTCGACGGCGCCGAGCCGGCAGTGGTACGCGTTCTATCTGCAGGTATCCCCTTGAGATGCCTACGCAGTTATACGACCGACGGGGAGCCTGTCGCCTGATTCCACCATTCGTTTTGCGTGCCGAGTGAGTTGAGCGGTGTTGCAGACAGAACGACGACGGCCGTCAGTCTCCTCAAGCAAGACTCAGGAGTACATCCATCCCCCTGCGACTAGTCCTCAGTTGTTATTGGCGGTGTTCTTCCCAAGCGTCCTTGCCTCCTGCCGTCCCCTTCCCAAGTCCCAAGATCCTCCTGCCTCCTTCCGCCTGCGTGTGTAGCGTCTGTATTGTACCTGCCGCTCTCCTATCCTGCCGTCAGTCCTTTCCTTTCCTGGTGGTTGTCGACCCTCCTTTTGGTCCCCATCCATCCAGACAGACACAGCGACGTCGTCGACTTTCCCTCTCCTTCCTTTTTTCTTCACCACCGCTCCTTCCCTCGCGATTGCAATTGCGGCAAAACCAGCTCTTCCTCTTTTTTTGCTTGTTTCGTCGACATTCTCGTCGTTTCACTTCAAACCCTCATCTTTATTTGCGGAGCACATCAACAGCAACCATTCGAATACACACACTCTCTCGCCGTCAGTGTTCTCACCCACGGCTGCAACCCACCAGGCAGAAAAAAAGTACGGATACCAAACCGGGTCTTCTTCGATAGGAGCCGTCGCCACTCTTTTTTCTAATCCAACGAGTCTTATCCAATTTCGCCAAGGCCCCCCCAGTCAACAGGTCCCGCCCTGCCACCACGCTGTTGTAAACCGGTTTGTCGATTGGCTTTCCGCCGCGAAGGACGCAAACCAATTCGTCTTCCTTCGTCAACCCTCTCACCGCGCGTTCGTCCCCAAATCGTCGTTCGCGTGCCTGTCCCTTCCTTTGGTTCTCTTTTTCCAGCTGTGCGTTGTCGCGGTATGCCTCTTTAGCGCAGAGGCACCTTTTCGTCTTCACCTTAGCGCCGCCACCGTCTGTTAGCGACATCATACCCGTCCCAGGCCGCTGCGGGCTTTAATAATCGAGTTGCTGCCGCTGCCGCAACCGCCACGCTGGCAATGATGACCATGCTCAAGCAGTCATCAACCGGCTTCGTTGCCCCGAGGGCTCGTCCCAAGACGCTGCTCTTCCTGGCCCTCGCCGTCATCTCCGTCTACTTCCTCGCCACTCGCGGCGCTCCCGCAGGATACCACGTCGTGCCATGGAATCATGATAGCACCGGCGCGCCTCCTCCCGCCGCCGATAAGGCTCCGGCAGAGCCCCCGAAACCCGCTAAGCCCCCCAAGTCGGAGGAGGAGAAGAAGCAAGAGGAGGAAAGATTGAAGGAGGAAGAGGAGAAGTTGAAGCAGGAGAGGGAAAAGCATGAGCAGGCTCTCAGAGACGAGTTCGCGGCTGAATATGAAGCTGCCAAGAGGTATGTGCATTTATATCTTCCCGCCGGCGGAAACGTCAGCTGTCACGTCAAGGCGGCAGGAACTGACTCTCTAAACCTTAATAGCCTCCCCGGCAACGACTACATCTACGGTAACACGCTCAACACCTTGACCAACAAGGAGAACCGCACCACCGAGCACGCCGCCGCCCTTCGCGACGTCGGCGCACAGGACGTCGCCTACACGAACCAGAGGCCCTTCGCCTACAACCCTTACCCTGACTACAACGGCGACGAATGGAACAAGACGCACCGCGCACCCTATGTGCCATGCATTGGAGCCACCGGCGAGGTCGTCGAGGACCTCTTGGTCTTCAAGGGTCAGCCGTCAAAGTTCCCCGCTACCGGCTTTGGCAGCTTCGACGTTCTGAACATGGATGGAAACATCTGCTACGAGCGCGATACTCGTCTCGGCCCCTACGGTCTCCAGCCGCAGCTCAGCAAGGCTGGCCTCCGGATTGATTGGGATAACATCAACTGGGGCGATCTGCAGGAGAAGTGCGTCGAGAGAAACGCGGCTCGTTTCGACGATGGCAAGCCCAACGAATACATCAAGACCGCATACCCTGACATTGCAGAGAAGTACGGCAACGAAATCGAGGACGTTGAGAAGCGCGGCTTCACCAAGTCCAAGGAGTCCAAGGTCAAGAAGGCGGACACCCGAACAGCTGTCCTCTTGCGATCCTACACCGGAAAGAAGTACAGCGAAAACGATAAGCAAGTCATCCGCGCGCTCATCTCCGAGCTTTCTCTGCGATCCGGCGGCGAGTTCCAGGTTTTCCTGTTGCTGCACGTTCGTGAGCAGGAGCTTGATATTTTGAACGACGAGGCGACGTACCAGTACGTCCTCAACGAGCACGTGCCTCTCGAGTTCCACGGCATCACCAAGCTGTGGAACGACAAGGGCGTCTGGGACGTCTACACCGCCCTCACCGACGACAACGAAAGAAGCGTCCACTCCGCCCAGTGGTTGTCTGTGCAGAAGTTCAGCCAGGACCATCCCGAGTTCGACTTCATCTGGAACTGGGAGATGGATGCCCGCATCGTCGGCCATCACTACGACTTCCTCAAGCGCCTCGACGAGTTCGCCAACAAGCAGCCCCGCAGAGGTCTCTGGGAGCGCAATGAGCGCTACTACATCCCTGAGTACCACGGCGACTACGACAACGACTTCCGCAAGGACGTTGAGAAGCGCACCCGCGGTAACCAGGTCTGGGGACCTCCCAAGCTGGGCTTTATCAACCCTGTTGGCCCCAAGCCTCCTGTTGACAACCCCGAGAAGGATAACTACAAGTGGGGAGTCGGCGAGGATGCGGATATGATTACTGTCGGCCCCATTTTCAACCCGATCAACAGCAGCTGGATCATTTCGGACCACATTTGGGGCTACAGAGACGAGGCTCATCCTGACCCCGCTAAGACCCTCCCCCGCCGCACCACCATCGTCACTCAGTCGCGTGTGTCTAAGCGCCTCTTGGACATCATGCACGTCGAGAACCTCCGCGGCAACCACATCGCCTCTGAGATGACCCCGCAAACCGTCGCCCTTCTCCATGGCTTCAAGACGGTGTTTGCGCCTCACCCCACCTGGTTCGACCGCCCGTGGAACGGCACCTTCCTCGCGAAGTGGTTCAACCCCGGTCCCCGCGGCGAGAGTGGTGGCGAGGGATCTCCCATGGGTTGGGGCCGCGAGCGCAGATACCAGGGCATGACCTGGTACTACCGCGCTGAGCCTCCCGCGAGACTGTACAACAACTGGATCGGATATGAGGACACGTCATACGGAGGCAAGGACTGGGAGCGCACCCACGGTCGCCCCTGCCTGCCGCCCATGATTCTCCACCCCATCAAGGAGGTCAAGCAGACCCCGCGCGGCTTCGCGACCAAGTTTGAGCTGTTCTACGGCTGAACAGCTCACGCTACGATGGTGTATGATGTACGAACAAGACTTGCTTCAACGGGATCCCGCATTATGACGGCAAAGGTGTTGCCAGCGGTAGTCGAAGCGACAGAATCTAGGACTAGACGGCCGGGCGCAGTGGCAGTGAAGTCTGATCATGAAAGGCTGATCAGAGTCATCAAAACAGGGTAGAACCGGGTCTACAATCGTTACCGACACACATTGTGCATCCGCATGCGATGCAAGTCTAGGAGAAATGTGGAAAAGAGGGAAATCCGGCGCGAGGTCCGCCGTGTGGAGCTAGGCGTTTGTTGTTACCTGCTGTTTTGCTTTACACCTGTCGGGCGATGTCATGTCCGCAGGTATTATGGCATCTCGAAACATACCACACTGTTCATTCTATCTGTTCCATTATGACAACACACCTTTTTCGTCTTTCTTTCCTTTTTTTTTTAAGTCTCGGGGCATCTCCCAGCGAGTAGACTTTCTTTCTTTTTCCTCTTTTTAAAAAACTTTGCCCCCTGACTTGAGGGCTTCGGTTCCTTGTACAAATGATGGGTGTGGATGGGAATCATGGTTTTAGATATAGAAGGGCCCCCGAGGGGGGTTTCTTGAACGTGTCAATAGTAATTGTCATGGGTTCAGAGTCTTATGTGGTGCGTGATTCGTGATGTGACTGCATCGTTTAAGTGTGCGTATGCCAGGGAGAGGGTATAAGAATGTTGAGATGGGCAATGATACAACGTATGGACAAATTAAGTAGTCGTTATCAGGTTGTGCCAGGGGTTTGGCTTATGATGCGCCGGGTGCGAGGTTGGAGGTCGGTGATAGTGTTGTGAGTCCCCCGGTGCCAGGAAGGGTTACGAAGTGGGTAATGGAAGGAATACTCACAGGATGGTGACGACGAAGGGCGACGGCGACCGTTGTCTGCGAGCACAATACTACTCACGCCAGGGTTGTGCCTTGTACTGAAGGATCGAGGTGCTTATCATGGTCTACTCTACCATGGCCACCATCTGTAAATACGAGGCTAGGAGTGTCCGATTTTGGCTTGGGCGGGAACGGATCTGTTTCCATGATGGGGGATGGTTTATATACCCTGTCGTAGAGTGTGATGTCACTGCCTGGTGGGTAGGATGCTTGTTTGGTAGTATTTATTGGGGTAGTTCGTGGGGTGTAGAATGGTTTGAGGCAATGGCCACAGCAGGGGAGTGGCTTATTGCTCCGCAGCTCAGGGCATCCCTACTGAGAAATGAGCCATCATCTGTTGGAAGTGTGTTGTCTGCTTGGAGAGCAGAGCGCAGGGAGATGGCATCAAGTGAGATAGATGCCTGTTGGTTTGTGTTGCTGTGAGTATTTGGGGCCGCATAGGTGATGGACGTAGTAATGAAGCGGGGGAGCGATGGAGCGATGGGGTTGTGACGGTGTATCGTGACATCACATCATCTAGATGACTGCGCTTTCTATACCCGCGCCTCCAGATTTCGTGTCGAATATACGCGAGCGATCCGAGGATTCTTGTCGGGCCCTGTGTTCTCGTGAATTCTTGAGGTTCAATTTATACGGCGGTAGGGGGCTGGATTTGAGAGGTGTGATGACGTACCTGGGGCGGTTTGGGAAGTGGCAGAAGGATGGTGCTTTGAGATGTCGGTTGGTTGTATATAAGAAAGGTCTGTGGGGTGGAGATCAGGTTGAGAGAACACCAGGCCAATCGATTGTGTTCTCGATTGCCACAGCTAATGTCTAGCTAGACTTGCAAGCAGCGAGTTTGTTGGGCTATATTTCGACGGGATGGCACAGGCGGGTTTCGCTCGGAGCTTTAGTTGTTGTGAATACTTAGATGACGGTCTTGCTGAAAGACAGCGACGGGGTTGGTGAGGATTGGTAAGGGGGTGGGGGGTAGATATCGTGCCTTGATTGGGAGACAAGTTGGTTCATGGCAATGGTCATGTACCTAGTCTGTGAACGGAAGCCATGACCGGGAAAAGTATTTGCTACCATTGAAGAGCATTTGGCTGGTGTTCCCATTCACAGGGCCAAGAACCTGTTTATATGCTTTTCCGATTTGTCGCTACATCTGGCGTTGTGTTGAGATGCGGATCAGACTACTGTGTGCGAGGTGATTAGGGGCGAGAGGGTATAAAAGAGACTTCATCAACTTGTGAAGATGTTTCAACGGCGCGAACAACAATGAGCCTGTGTGTGTTGGCTGGGTTGATCCCACGGGTCTGAATGGAGCTGGTCAGATGGCTGCGAGTACGTTTTGCGGATAGTGTGGGTCATCATCAACGAGCGGGCGTGTCCAAATGATTGTGTCTCGTGTATTGGGAATGTATACTATATGAACGGGCTTGATGAAGGGGATGCTGATGTGAGGGGATGAGTATTTGAGTAGGGCGTATGGAAGATGGGCGTGCATGGTATCAGCTTGAGCTTGACTTGAGAACAGGTACTGCAGCTAGACAAACCGCGCGTGTTATACAAGAAGGTTGATTGCGGTGGGTCTGGGGCAGCATGAACATTAAGGTATTCCAGAATATATACATGCTTGGCCCCATGACTTCTGGGTGTCGGTTCTCGGGGCAGTAGACCTCCAGGACGGGTCTCGACGTGCGCGAAAACAGCGACGACACAAGACTCCGCCTATATAAGAGAACAAGTAGACTAACTTTACTTGTTCTTCAATGGACTCAGCGGACGAATGTTAAGGCTTCCTCAATTTTTGTTCAAACCGTTTCACGCATCGTCGGCAACGAGTGATGGTGCCTATACATCCTGGGCGAAAGCTTTGCTGATTTTGACCGATGGCTGTTCGCCGAATGATCTCGCGACGCTGGTGATGACGGGGAGGCGTGAGGGGGCTGTCAGCTACCCTGTGTAGATGTAGAGCGGTCATTGAGCGAGCTTGGCGTTGAAGATTCGGCTCATACATCGATCAGACTATCAAGACAATGGATGCATTGCGTCACTTCTTCCCGCGACTCGTACATACGTCTTTCGTGGTGGCAGATGGGCTCCACGCACGGCAGGGGTAAATCTCTACTTGGGATGCATAACATCTCTGACGCAAGGCTTTTAATGAGTTGTAATGTGGTTTTTAAGCCGTGCAGGATTACTTCACTCCGCTCATCAACAATGGACCAGGCTGCAGAATTCATAGTTGAGTCCCAGTAGATATCTGAGGACTCGAGCTGACGTCACGGCTAGAACTCACTGCGTGTTCCCATGTCAGCAAGGCCTTTTCGGATCATTGTGTTTTTACAGTTACCGCTTTTCATGACGAATACTTTGCTCGTGACGAGAGAGACGGACAGGACTGGCTAATGGCGCTGTCTTGGGTGTCGCTTCGGCCGCTGTGTCCAAAAGAAGAGAGATGGGCGCCACTGGAGCGTCGAGATGTCCATTATTTCAACGCAAACGACACTGAGATAGATTTGTTTGCCTTAGAAACACTTTGTTGGGCTTTCTTGCGTGTCTTTATACTATACAGCGAGTACTTAGGTAGATATGCGGCAGGGGCTTTGCGATTAGGACTTAGTGGGTAAGTCACTGATTTCTTCTGACTGTTGTCATTGATCAGATATATTGGTACTCAACTGAGATCCCCTTCTCGTCGGCGTATCACTCATTCTGAATTAAAATACGACAGGGACACTAAAAGCGCAAGGAGACAATGAGCCGGGAGTGATCAGGTCTCTTGCTTGCTTGCAGATGCAGTGTAGTGGACGTCGCGATACCTGGTCAGCGGGAGAGGAAAATCGATTACTAGACTAATTAATACTAATCGCTACGTACTATTTCGGCTGGGAGATAGTTTTTTTGCGCACACAGTAATTTATACTTGTCCACAAGGTGTGATGTGCAAGATAGATAGATTGGTTCTAGATCTCGGTGACTTACGGTGACGACTTTGCATCTAGCTTTCAACTCGGCTGTGACGTTGCCTTGCACGGAGACGCTTGTGAAAACTGAGTGTTTTAAAGACGAAATTGTGATCGATGGGAGATAAGCTGGCTGATATTGGTTATGGCGTCTACAGGTGTTCTCACATCCGGATGTTATTTACATAAGCATCGGGCATCAACCATTTGAACGAATCTCAAGCCAAATGCATATATAATCGCCTCATTCACAGCTGTGTTTCTCTTGGACGCAAATCACATCTCTCCGCATTTTCATTCGCAGCCAGGAGCCCTTGGCCATCGATGCATCGGATAACCTTCATCATCTCATCCTTACATGCTGCTGCTCAGAGGCTCAAGTGAGTTGGCATAACATGCAACAAACTCAGAGAGTCGCTACTTATCATCGCCTGTGTATTTTCGAAGAATATCTGAGGAGCAATGGTGACTGACGGGAAGGTTGGGGGATCGCCGCGCCATCAGTGACATGTGGCGTAAGTAGCACGAGCGATGTCACTGGAGCTTGATTCTGGGATTAGAGGTATGAAAGACTGTTCAAGTTCCATGAAGCAAAATTCTTTGGCGACACTGTTGCTTGGTAACAATATTGAGACGTCATGGGGGTGTTTATATACTATCATTTTCGCGCTGCAGAGGAAGATCCATTCAGCGATGCTCGTGTAGTTGGCAGACCGTGTCCTGTGGCCACCCTGTCCATCACTATAAAAGCGCTACATCATAGAACATTCAAATACAAACAATTCTTTTCAACTCTTGTAGCTGTCTTGAATTTTATGCTTCTCTCAAAGTGAAGGGGTTGCTCATGTTGTACATGGTTCGCTGAGTTTTGCCTGCCAGGGTTAAACTTCGAAGCCATCACTACCGTATTATGCAAGCTCAATGCACAGATGAAGACAATGGAGCCTGGAAGCTGAGAATGTTGCCCCTTCTTCAGTCTTCAAGACTACGAGACTGGAGGTCTGGCCGGCCATATTGCCAAATATCCGGCCTACTCAGGCCGGGAGCCTCTCTAAAATTCTGGCACTGTCGATCCTGCCCTAATCCGTGGTACACAGGAGAGGAGGTGTTAGTTGCAGAAGGTTTCGA